TTCTCTCTCTTTTTGTTATATTCATTTTCATAATAATAATAATTATTATTTTCATATTTTATTATTATCGTTATTATATTTTAGTTTAGTTATTAAAGTATTCTTATCTTGACCCACAAGTTTTACTTTTTTTTTTTTTTTTTTTTTTCCTGATTTTCCCCATCCCACTGGGAGCGGGGAGGAGTGAGCAAGCAGCTGCATGGTGCTTAGTTGCTGGCTGGGGTTAAACCACAACAAAGAGGAATCAGGATTTGTTAATGACTTCAGCTTTCACAGTTAGCTTTCAGAAACTAATTAAGGTCAAACATGTTCATTATCAGGCAAAAGTAGAGCTGAAGAACAATTTTGTTACTCTTCCTTGTGTTGAATCACTGTCCCATTTTTGTGCCAGCACAACCTCTGGTAAATGTTTCTGTGTTAGGAGACTCCTGGCTTAGTAAATTCCTTTACTTTTAATTAAAGATATCTGCCAGGTGATGGTTTTTCTTCTGACTGTCAGAATTTCCTTAAGAATACATATTAACTTAATGTACAAAATAATTTGGACCATTGTAATGTGGTTTTAAGTCCCTACCAACATTGTAATTCCTTTCCTTTGTCTGTTCCAACTGAAATGGCAAAAAAAAAAAAAGTAAAAATGTACTAGCACATAGGGTTTTATTTTAAGTTGAGAGTAAGGAGCATTTCATAGTAGTAACTTGATACAGCCCTGCTCTGTGGTGGAGTTTCCTTAGGAAATGAGAGCAAGGTGTAGCTGTATAGATAAATACAGGCACAAGCATATTTATCAAACTAGTTGGAGCCAAGCCTTTTATCTTGTCCCCTAAGGGTTGTTTGGAAATCAGAAAGACATAAAAATTGCTCTTTCAAATGAAAAAAACCCCCCAACGTTATTTTATTAATGTAACAGTTCTAAGAACAGAGTAATTTGCTTGATTTGAAGATAATGATATATGCGTGTTTGTGTGTGCTGTCTTTTAGATCTAAACGCTGTCTTGGAAAAGCAACATTTACTGGAACAGACACAGATTTCTGTGCATCCATATTACCACTCCCTGGGAACAGCTCTGTATGGAGAAGAAAGACCAACTACCAAGATGCCAGACCCCATTGCGGTGCCACTAGATCCATATGTCTGGCAGTTTTTACAAAGGGAGGCTAAACTGATCCAAGACATAAACCAGGAAATGTCAATTTGCCATTGTGAGCTAAAATGGCCCCAGACAGACTGTGCACACCCAGAAATTATGTTGTGCCCATCGTCATCTCTCTCTGAGCAGAAAAAGCCAATGATGAAGTTGATCAAGACATGGAAGCAAGATGCTTCTGCTGAGTTCTCATGTATCATGGCACGTTACATAGCTATAAAATGTAAAGTAAATTCAGTGGATTGGGGAGACGTGAAAAGCAGATTGGTGAAAGATGTTGCTTTGATCATAACTGATATTTCTGAGGAGATGGTGGTGATTGCAGGTAACAGAGCAGCAGTGGACAGTGCAGAGAAAGAAGTGAGTGAATGCATGGAAAAAGCTATGAAGCAAAGTGAAAGGGAAAAACAAAGCATAGAAATTTCTGTGTCAGTGACCCAAGGGAAGTATGCTGTTCTGCACAATGCTGGGCTAGAAGAGAATATTCACAAAGAATATCCATGCTTAAAGATCTTTTATGATGACATAAAAAAAACTGTTCAGTTGTGTGGATTACCTGCAGAAGTATATAAAGTCAAAGCTGACTTACTGGAAAAGGTATTGAATATGCCATGTGCATCAGTTACCATTGATCCCCATATTTTCTGCTATCTACAGCATGTAGATAATAAAACAATGTCAGAGACATTATTCACTAGCAAAAAAATTAATACTTTTTATGAGCTTGGGGATGATACTATGTTACTATTTGGAGATGCTCCCAAGGATCTTTTAGAAGCAGAAGAGCAAATAAAGGCAGAGTTAGACTATGAGTGTATCCATGTGGAGGACAGTGAGGCCATTAAAAAGGAGCAGTGGAGGAGTCTTCTTGCCTCCTTGTGTAAGAAGTACAATTCTTCCCAGGAAACTGTAGTCATTGATGAACTTGCTGGAAAAGAAAATAAAGTGATTATTTCTGGCTTTTCTAAGGCTGTTACAGAAGTTTCTGAAAAACTTAATGATTTTATAGATAGAAACACACACGTGGAAAAAGTAGTCCCGGCTAAGTCGGTGGTGGTAGTGCAGTTTGTAGAGAAGGAAAAATCTGGTGTTTATCTTGAATTGAGGAAGAAAGGTGTGACAGTGCATTTTGACACCAAGGCACTGTGTATTTCCCTGAGCGGACCAAGGGCAGAAGTGCCAAAAGCAGTCACCATGTTTGAAAAAATTCTCTCATCCCTTTACTCAAAAAATGTGCCAATTGATAAACCAGGAGCCAAAGAGTTCTTCACTGAGAGGAAAGATTCATGTGTTCTTGAGGCAAAGCAGAAATTTAGCTGTTTGATTAGGCTGGAAGAAGAAGAGCAACAACAACAACAGAAGGGTGAAAAAGTTGGTGATAAAGAGAAAAGAAAGCTCTACTGCAAGAAAAAGCTGCCAGGTGGAGTTGTAGTAGCAGTGTATAAAGGTAACTTGTGTGATTATCCTGTTGACATTGTGGTAAATGCATCTAATGAAGACTTGAAACACATCGGTGGCCTTGCTGAGGCACTGTTAAAAGCAGCTGGTCCAGAGCTGCAACAGGAGTGTGACAAGCTGGTGAGGAGGAACGGGAGTTTGCAGCCTGGGTGCGCAGTTATCACTGGCGCTGGGAAACTCCCCTGCAAGAACATCGTTCATGCTGTTGGGCCGAGGTGGAGGAATGATGGAGAAGAAGAATGCGTGTGCTTGTTAAAAAAAACAGTGAAGAAAAGTCTACAGCTAGCCGAAACATACAATCATCATTCCATAGCTCTGCCTGCCATAAGCGGAGGGATTTTTGGCTTCCCCCTGGAACTGTGTACATATTCGATTGTATCCTCCATCAAAGAGACCTTGGAAGAATCCATGGGGGACAGCAGCTTGAAGGAGATTCATCTTGTGGATGATGTGGAAGAAAGAGTCCAGGTTCTGAGTGAGGCAGTAAATAAAGTCTTTACAGCTAAATCACCCATCCCAATACTGCAGATGCCACGCTCAGAAAAACATAAGCTGAGAGAAAGCCAGAAGGAGAAGAGAAAAGAGGATCTGCAGATGGCTAGAGATGATCCGCGGATGATTACAACAAACGAAGGACTTCGCATCCGAGTAGAGGAGAAAAACGTTCAGGAAGCCACGGTAGGTCTTTAATTTTCTGCTTCCACTCTAGCTTGATGTGAAGATCTTTAAATTTAAATAGAAAAGGAAGGACAGTAGGTTATATTGGTTTACAAGGTAGTTGCTACTTAGGGAAACTACAGCCATGTGCTAGCTAAACAAGGATGCAAGCTTGCAAAACTGGTGGATTTCATGTTGGGATCTGCCACTCTGCAGCCATTTCTAGTGGGCAGCTGTGAATTTCAGGATGTTTCATTCCCAGCTAGGTTTTATTTGTTGTCCAGATCTCAGGTCAACATGTAAAAGATTTTGCTTTTTTTCTAAAAGGGAAATATTAAAATACTTTCTAAAAGTATTTATATGATCTGTAGCTATCTAAGTTGGATATTACAGGAAATCAGCGCATGTCTGGGCTGCTTTTGTGAGTCATGCTAACGGGGAGGATGTAGCTTTGTTGTTTTTTTTTTTTTTGTTCCCTTCTCTTTGAGCGGGGTAAAGACACAGTCTATGAAGAAGTTACTGGGCTATAGAAAAGTGACCCTATAGAAGAGTGCATGCTTAGATTGTTTTGCCAAAGTCTAGACCTGATTCTACTTATTTTTTACCCCCATTTTCTTTTTTCATTTTTTTTGCTAACAAAGAGTTAAAACTACTACTCATCTATACCATCAAGCCTCACTTTACACCTCTGACATAGTTCCTTTCCCTTATTTTTTTTTTCAGTGATGCAAAGTGCATCTTGATAAAATCTCTCTTTTTCAACAGCCCCTGATTTTTATACCTTCGGAGTTTAAAACCTCCCTAAATTATTATTATTGTCCTGTTGTTTCAATATTAGTTACTTCACTTGTCATTTTGGTGCCTGTAAAAGCCTATTCCAATAAAAGAGCAATACTAGATGTAAAAAAAAATCCTCAATATGACACATATTTAAAATGGTTTGTAATTAAAATGTCTCCAGTGGGGAAAAAAACAAAGTAAAAACCAGACTTCAGGGCTTTGTCTGTTTTCTTCATGAGAGCACAACCTCCGTTCACCTCATTTTGGTGCATGAGGTGCTGAGAAGATGTAGGCAGTCCCACCTCAGTGAAAAGGAGGGAAGGGACATTAAACTTGCTACATTATGTGTCCCTTACACAATACATATATGTTGCATCCTGTGATGATGCTAGAGAAGAAGGAGCGATAGTGCAGCAGTTCTTCACAAGGAAATGCAGGAAAGGCTGGGTCTGGGGAGAGGGGATGAGGCAGACTGCAGAGGTTGGGTTTATTTCACCTGCCCAGACACTGGTGTCTGCTCAGGAGCAGGCGATTCACAGCCTTACCTCCACGGAGGGCTTGCCAGCTCTGCCTGGATGGAGGGAGGGAGGGATGGAGGGAGGGAGGGAGGGATGGATGACCTGCTCACATCACCTGTGGTGTTGATACTCACAGTGGGTTTGATGCTGCCTGCCTTAGGTTTCCTACAAGTCCAGGAATACTCAGTATCCAGAAGCTGTGCTGGAAACCAGGTTATTTCTCCATGGCATCTTGTTTTTCATGTGGCCTGTTGCTTTGGTAGTGCTATTGGTCTTGGTGCATATTTTTACTTGAAGTCTGGCTATAGGTGTTTTTGTTGTAATTTTGTTGCAGACGGATGTTATTGTCAACAGTGTTGGCACAGATCTGAAGTTTGGCGTGGGGCCTCTTTGCAAAGCCTTGCTGGAAAAGGCTGGACCAGCGCTCCAAGTGGAGTTTGACAAAGAAGAACAAAGCCAGATTGCTGCTCAAGGGAGTGTGCTCTGCACCAGTGGATATGGTCTGCCCTGCAAGTCCGTGCTTCATGCCATACTTCCCACATGGGATGGAGGAAAAGGACAGACCCTGAAGGTACATTTTAATTATTTAAAAAAAAAAAAATTGAAACCAGATTTATTTGGTATCCTGTCCTGAAGTTTCAGGATTTAAAATAGTTAGATGACTCGACTCCATTTCCTTCTGTTGGAATGACCTTAAAGATGCCTTGATGCACTGAGAGCTTTTTCTCATACCAGTGTAGTTTCTATGGAACTAATGATAAATGATGCCTTTAAAAAAAAAAAATAATAAAAGAACAATCTTCACTGTGTTTTACAGATCCTAGAAGATATAATCAATTCCTGCTTGAAGAAAACTGAAGAACTTGGACTGAAATCGATCACTTTCCCAGCTATTGGAACTGGAGGATTTGGATTTCCTAAAGTCGTTGTTTCTAAGTTAATGTTTGATGTGGCATTCAAGTTCAGTAGCAGTCACACTCGGAAGACTCTCAAGGAAGTTCATTTTGTCTTGAATCCAAAAGATGTGGATAACGTTCAGGTAGTTCTCAGGACAAAGCCATCTATGTTGCATACTGTTCTAGTTAAACCTTAACAATATATTTTAATTATATTGCTTTCTTAAGGGAATAATTTAGCACTTTCTTACTGCTACGGACTGGTGACAGTGGAATGTCCCTCCAGTGTCTGAAATATGAATTCTCAGCAAGCACAAGCTGTGGACAAAATTGGCCTTGCTGCTGGCACTGTAAACACCTGTAGATGATCACTCATCTTTTGACAGAGGAGTTCTGGCAACATAAAGACAGTAACTATTATCCCACTGTCCACACCGAGTCTTCCACTATTATTAATGATACGTAAACATGGCTGTAAAATACATCAGATGGCTCAGCAAGATCTACGCGACTAATAATGTTAATTATAGAAATATTCAGTGTATAAACTCTGAAATGCTGTCTTTGGTACCTTTTTTCTCTTCTTAGACATTTACCAGTGAACTAGAACGTAGGGTAGCTGGAAGGTGCAATGCTGCAGCACCACGATCAGGTAAGTTGTGTAGGGGCTGGTGGTGGGAGACAGGGACAAGTGTAAAGTGGTTTTATATATATGGGGAAACAAATGAAATGTCATCGAGACGGCATTTTTTGTTCTTCCTAATGGACTGGCATTCTTAAACTCCATTTGTAAAAATCTTAAAGAGGAATTTCTTTTGTTGAGGGCGTGCTCATCTCTTAGTGAGGCCAGTCTTATCACATGGAAGAGGATATCCTGCTAGGAGAACCGTTAGTTTGTTCTGCTCAAAGGGTATGAGAACTTGGTATTGCTTTGCCAAATAAGCCATAAATAACATGTATTTCTGTACCTTTAATGTCCTATTTAGAGATATACAGAAAGGATAACGTACTTTCCACTTATTAATTGACAGTAGTGTGACAGAATAGCAAAAAGGTATGAGTGAACTGCATCAACGGCAGAGGCTTAGTCATAAGAATATATAGCTCTTTCTTTTTAGTTGCTGTGAGTATCAGTGAGATGAAGTTAGGAGTGTGGTGCAGATAAAATATGAATTAGGTGAGTTGAGACTAGAAGTAAGGAACACTTTTGTATCTGTGAGGGTAAAGATGAAATAATTTACAGAAGCGGTGTGATGGGTTCTCCATTACTGGCAATGCTTAAGCTGGATACTCCATTTCTTGTAAGAGAATTCAGGAAACTTTCACAGAGCTAGTCAGATCAGATAACCCCCAAGAGTCCTTTCTAAATTTATATTGCGTGAATTTACACGAATAGAAATGTTTTCACTTTCACAGTATTGAAATGGGAAGAATGCTGCACCTTCTTGCTTTCAGAAATGGAGTAAAGAGAAAGGCAGGGACTCTCTAGGTCCAACAAACTGATCTAGAGCATATTACTTAAAAGGATGAGTTGAAGTTTCCATCAGTGGAAGAGAATAATATCCCAAACTAGAGAAGTGTTTTAAGGTATTTTTCTTTCCCTTGCAGGTTTCATTAGGCATGTTTCAACTGAAGTATTGGGAGTTCATGAAATGCAGATTGGTTCCATTACACTGCAAGTAATTAGTGGAGATATTACCAAGGAAGATACTGAGGTTATTGTAAACATATCAAATCCAACATTCAATGCCACATCAGGTATTGTATTGAATATGTAGTTCTTTAGTGATAAATTTGAGCTAGTTTTTAGAAGGGAGTAGGGGAAAGAATTGTCCATATGTGAAATTTGTACGAGGTAGTTTTCAGATGAGGGGGAGTTGTGATTAGTCAGGAAACAGATCTTAAACAGGTCCTGAATATTCCATTTAGTTTCCACACTACTCAGACAGAAGACATCTGACCTAAACAAAAATGCTTAAATAAAAGGGAATTTTTAGATCAAATGTAATTCTGAAAAACTCCTCTTATCCTAATACATTTCACTGTAAGCAGCAGAGGATTCTTTGGTGACATTGTGAATTGCAAGCATGAAAAACATTGAATGATCTAATTCAAAGCAATAGGAGAGTTTGGTGAGGGGCTTTCTACTGGCTGGTGAAATGATGAAACAGGAGTTATTCTTAACGATTTCTAGTCAATAATGAAGGCAGCGTTCCCTTTGCAGGCAGTGCAGTGTGTCACGGAGAGTACTTAGGGGAACTGGCAAGGTTTTGCTCTTTGTGGGATCTTGCCCTATGAGAATTTGGGGTATTTGTAGAGTACAGAAGTTGGGTAAGTTTTGAGTAGAAATAGCTAAGTTGACTTAATGAATGTGTATGCTTTTCTTGTGTAATTTAAGGAGTCTTCAAAGCAATTATGGATGCTGCTGGTTCCCAGGTAGAAGAAGAATGTGCTCAGTATGGTATGTTAAAGCATACAGTTTTGTTTGATTAATTTTGTTTGTTTCCTCTGAAAACTCAAAGTTGTTTTATAATTCTCTACTCTGATGGTATAATTATTTTATCTGAAAAAAATAGCTTTCACTTTTGGGAATTTTGAAAAGTCCTGTTTTGACACCTGCTTTGAGAATTTTTCTTTTCACAGCTGAACAGAAGATGGATAGTTTTCTGATGCTAATAAATGCTGGGAAATTAATGTAATTTAAGTTTTTTACCCCTGAAATTACATAAGCATGTTCCTGATTTAAGAACAGAAACAGTCCCACTGACTTGAACATAATTTTTAAGCTCATCTACTGTCAGCTACAGGAGAGCTGAACAAAGTGGTGAAAGACTTAGCATGTGCAGGACCGGCTTTTAGAAGCTAACAGCAAATCTGGGCTTCTATTTACAGATACATAATTATTTTTTTATTGAAGTAATGTAACTCTGCTTATCACCCTGATTGTGAGTTCTTCTGTAGTCTGCATTCTGCCAGACCAGTAAACCAGTAAAATCCCAACTGACTGTGCTTGGCCTCTGTGAGCACAGAAAGGAACATGTTCTGGTTGCATAAACAAAATGTTGCTGCTCTGAAGGTGGAGTTTTCTGGATACTTTTTCCAGCCTTTGGCTCTGCAGGCTCTCCCTGTTTATCAGCCTGATCTCAGTGCATGCAGAGCTGCAATCAGTGAAGGGGTATGTGACTGCGTTCAACAGTCCATTCATCCTCACAATATGACTCCATTTTGAGGCGTTTGTAATCAAACATGAGTGCTCTGAAAAAACATGAACGTCTTTTTAAAGATTCCATACCACAGTTCTTAGCTCAGTTGGTCATTATCTTAATGATATTATTTTAACATTGAGCCCTTCTGCAGAATAAGATTCCTTTCAAGGAATAATTTGCATAAGAAAGGAATTCTTACATAAATGAATTGTGCCCATGCTATTGGCACGCTTTTAAGTAAAAAGTGAGCTGCATTTAAATTCAACATAAATTCTTAAGTTGTACTTAATAGGAAACTGCTTTGTAGCAGAGATCTTGTGAAATTAGAAGACACACAATTACTTGAATTACTTTCTCACAGAAATTCTGCAATGAGAGTATTTACAGAGAAGACCAGAATCAACTGAAACCAGGATAATTTAGCTCACAGTGGATTTCTTTCCACTTTTTGCACTTCTCTTCTAGCATCAGTATAACCAGCTGTCTTATTGGAAGAGATAGCCGCTTTGAAAATGTTATGTCTCCTTTTTTATCTTCTCTCTTCTAGCTGGGCAGTCTCAAAGTGGCTTTATTATTACACAAGGCGGGAAACTGTTGTGCAGTAAAATCATCCACTTGATTCACGATAACGACATCAAGAGTCAGGTCTCCAAAGTGCTTAACACGTGTGAGCTACGGATGTACACATCAGTTGCTTTCCCAGCAATTGGAACAGGTTTGCTTTTTCTGAGAAAGTGATGAGGGCTGTGATGGGGACAAAGTTAATCCCTCTGATATGGATAACAGTAGACTTGTGCAAGAAACTCTGTAAACTGTGATTTGTGGAAGGTCATTTTAGTCAGGACAGACACCACCTGCACACTTCCAAAGTGCTGCTTTTCTTAAAAGTACAAATATTACAGTCAATATTGGTTGAGAAAGGACACCTAAAGAAAAGGTATTGCTCCATAAAAGACATTCTGCCCCAACACAGACTGTGTATCGCAGCTGGCCACCCTGCACCTTTCTTCACACGTCCCATTCACCTTGCTTTGGGATTTCAGCCACATGGAAGGGCTGGGGTTGGGGTTTGTAGGCGAAGAAAGCTGGAGTTGTCCTGAGAACAAAACCTTGCCTGGATGACTACGGAAATTGCGGGCTGGGCACAGAATACCTGCAGTTTACACCTTTTATAAGTCTCGTTTCAGCCACCTGCTCTGGAGGAGGGCTAGAGGCAGGCTAGCTTGTTTGGCTTAAGCTTCTGGTTAGCTTGGGGAGTGGGGCTTGAAGAAATCAGGGTATCTTTCTCAGACCAAGGCTCCCCTTGACTGGAAAAAGAAATTGTGAGCTAGTCCTTGCCCAGCGTGCCAGGTTAGGGTAGGAGCTGGTGCGTGGGTCAGTGTTTGTACTCCACAGTGATGGTCATGGCAGGTCCCCTGGACTCCCAACATCATCTGCGTGCTGGTGTCATGATGGCTGTCCGAGGGATGCCATGGCTGAAATTGTCAGGGATACCACCAACATGTCAGGACAAGCTTTATGTTGCACTTCAGGCTTGTAGGGGAATGAGAGCAGTTGTTTTGAGCTTGGTGTTGGTGTTTGTACGTTAAATACACTGCAGGCTTGTGCCAAAATCCTCTGCTGATTTTGATTTGGTTTTACTCTATCCCCATCTTTAAACTGGGTATGAGAGTTCGTGATGAGTGGGTTTAAAATTTTCAGGGGGATGCTAAGGCTGAAGTGCTCGTTGGAGCCTCAAAGTGAATGGGGGGCTAATCCCAGAAGGGCTTCTTGGGTCTGTGTAGGGTGTCAGGTCCTGGAGCTCACAGGCTTAGGTGTAAAGCTGAGGTTAAGCCTGGGGCTTTGGCCAGAAAGCGTAATGGGGGAGGAGAGAGGGGCAGCAGTCTGTATGAGCTGGGGATGTGGTCTCTCTTTTCTGGATGCTGCCTTGAATTAAGTACTGTTCACTGATACGTGCCTTTTGTTTAGGTCAAGCAGGACAGAGTCCAGCAAAGGTAGCTGATGACATGTTGGATGCTATAGTGGAATTTGCAAGCAAAAGATCAGTACAGCATTTGAAAAAAATTAAAATCGTCATCTTCCAGACAAAGATGCTCAGAGACTTTTATGAAAGCATGAAGAAAAGAGAAGATTCAGATCCGTCTACAGCAGATTCATGGATGTCTCGGTTTAAATGTAAGTGGGTGGGTTTTCTGTGTGCATGGGCACATAAAACTAAAGGTCTTTTATTTAAAACTGATAATTAACATGTATTTCTTCACAGCATTTTTTTGGGGCAAAACCCAACCCACTGAGAAGAAAAAGCCCATGGTTTTGGAGAAGAAAGTTGATCTGGCCACATTTCAAATTTGTGGAGAAAGCCAAAAAAATGTGGATGCAACTGAGTCCTGGATAAAGAATTTAATTTTAAAGGAACAGTTTGAAAACATTATTTCAGATGAGCGAATTGAAAACTTTGATGAGAGTCAAATTAACACTTTGGCAGATCTCCAGAGAAGAAAGCATGTTACCATTCAGATTGAAAATAAACTTTCCCCCCCTCACATTAAAATTTCTGGTATTAGCAGGGACGTCTGTTTTGTTTCTGTGGAAGTTCAAAAAATGATCAAAAATATGAAGGATATTGAAGAAGAACAATCCAAGGCAGAACTTGTTTATAACCTGGTAGAATGGAGATATCTAGGAAGAAATGATAGCTTTGTTGCTTTTGACAAACTGACAAATATGCAGCTAGAGGATGCCAAAATAGCTAAAAAACCACATCTCACTGTCAAAATTAACAAGAAGAACTACAAGGTGGATCTGAATACTCTACAGGGTATAGATGACCAAGGAAGAACTATAAAAGTTCAACGTGTGCCAAAGAATGAAGGTAAATTACAGCTTTGTTAATTAAAAAATCCTTCAGTAGTGATTATTGAATGATAATTCTGATAAATGCAAATTCTCTTTTTTTTTTTTTTTCTTCAATCCCTGGGCATGCCATAGCCAGCAGTTTTAGTTTCATAATTACTGGCAGGTATGACTGAAAGCAGACCATCTATTTTAAATACAAATATTATCCATATGTATGTGGCTAGTGAGCATAGATTTCATGCTTAAATCTGACAAAGGAAGCGGTGTGTGAAGAAAGTGTGAAATTCTTCTGTGGTTTTCAAACTTGTTTTAATTAGATATCAGTAAGGGGATAATTAGACTAGAGAAAATGTGAAGTCTTAACAGCGCATTACAGAGCCAGTGATGTATTGAAGAGAGAGTATTCTTGGAATAAAGTATTGCGTAAGGTACTGTCCTCTCAGCCCTCTATATGCAGTTGGTTTGTAACATGTGCCTGCAAAACTGAGCTCAATATCTGTGATAATAATACAATCTCTTCTGCAGATAAGCAGTTAATAGAGTTACCTGCGCAGTGGGATGACATGCGAAAGGAACTGGTCAAACTGGTAAAGCTCAAGCCATCACATCAGGAATATCTGGAAGTTGAGACCAAATTTAAGAAAACCTGTCCCGGCTTTGTCATAGAGAAGGTGAAATCCTATGGGGGGAAAAGAAGTGAATTCTTGGGCTGAAAACATTAATATACTTTCTAAATATTTGTTTGTAAGGTGTCTGCAACCTTATACACCTCTCATAGGTCAGTCTCCCTAGCACTGTTCAGAGTGGATATAAGTCAAGTCAAGTTTCCTGAGAGTGGCCCTGCCATTCCTGCCTTCTAATAATGCAAAACCAGTGACCATCACTCTTTAGGGTGACTCTGCATTCAACCGATGTGGTACTCGCTAGTTAATGTGATAATTCTGTATTGAAATGGAAGCACGAGCAAACGCATTCAGAACACAGAGGAAAATACAGAGTCCTTGCAGAGTGGCCATAAAGCTTTTTACTATTTTACTATTTCTTCCCTGTCAGTCCCAGAGCCTTTCAGGCGAGACTATTGGTTTTAACCCAAGTGTCAAGATTTGATGCTGCTTATTGAAAAGTCTGCCACACAGTGCACAGAGATTTAATTGCCAGGGAGAAGATGGGATTATTTAGAATCAGGAGGAGCGATAAATAGGAGAAAATACGATGAAAGTAAGAGTGAGAATATGTGTTTGAAAAATGTTCTTCTATCATGAGATTCAAAGAGCATGGTCACTAAGAAACAAATAAAACAAAATATTAGTGTATAGTAGGAAAAAAACAGGTAATGACATGAAGCCTTTTTCCATTGAAAATGGAAAGCTGTTAGAGCAATGCCTTTAAGATTATCCTTTGACGCAGATACACTGTTTCCCCCTGAGCTATATTCACCTTGTTGGCACAGGGAGCCAGCAACATCTATCCTCCGATTTATTTTTGTATAGGAGTTTCTCGTGGGTTGCTAAGCTACACAGTAAAGGAAGTAATTTTGACTTCCAAGCTGAGATCTGGAGGAGAAACTTGAATTCAACATAATGCTTTTGGTACAGTCTACCTCGTAGTGGGAAAATCATCAGTAAAGATGATTAGGCTGTACGGAAGGCATCTTACATCACTGCCTCTAGCAGTGGTACAACAGCCTGTTTCTAAAAATGACAACACACAGCTGCCATGATTGCTTGTGTACCTGGTACGCTAGGCAAGGCAAAAGTATGCCAAAAGTTACCAAGCTTGAAAACCTCTTATAAGCTACTTTGGTTTCTGATTTTTCAGGAGGCTTACGTTCCCCAAACCACACACTAACAGGGCATAGTGAAAATCACTATCATTCTTTCAGTTTGGTTTGGTTTTAATGCTTTCTTGCCATGATAAATATTGGTCCCTACCAGTATAAATACAGTTCTATTTTGCAACTTTGCAGATTGAAAGAATACAAAATCCCTTCCTCTGGCAGCAATACCAAATTAAAAAAAAATCTCTCTGTACGAAGAATGGAAGTCAAAATAATGAGAAGTTGCTATTTCATGGGACAGCTTCATCCTCATTGAGCACAATCAACTACAATGGATTTAATCGTGGGTTTGCTGGAAAGAATGGTGAGTCATTATCTAAAGCAGTTAATTTCCTAGACACGTATGAGGTGTAGGTAATGTCAATATAATAAACAGCTCCAGAGCATAATCTATATGGACAGAGGAATTGGACTGTTCAGTTAATCCCTTGCTGATGAATGCCACCATCTAGAGGGTATCAGAAAGAGCTCACCCACCCTGAAATCAAGCCTGGGCAGCTTTTGAGAAATGTTTTGTATGATCGGCCTACAGAAAGGAGCAAGGGCTGCTGTTCCACATCCTCAGCTGAGATACCAACCGCTAGCTGCTGGTGTCTCCTCTCTTACTACACAAAGGCAAGTGGCAAAGTAGAGGTGCAGATACTTCTGTTGCCTCCAAAGATAAGGACAGCACAAGCAATCAGAAGTTCTCACTCCCCTACCATTTTTATGCACATGAAATCTGTTGAAATTCATGAGTTAATTCTTCCCCTTAATAATTGTTAGGGACAACTATTAAATATTTCATAGAAAGAGTTTCTACATTAGTTCAAAGATTGTTTTGTCCAGGTCTGCTAGTACAGTCATGTTATTATTTGGTAGCATTCAAAGATGAAGGACAGGATCCAAAGAAGCGGAACTTGGGCTGAATTGAGGTGCCAGTCACTCATAGAGGTCCTGCAACCTTACATCAAAAGTTCTTACTTTTAGTTCTTAATGTGTTCTTCCTTAAGACAACTGTACATGCCTAGGGCTGATTTCATCTTGGGAGAGCTGAACTCAGATCTAGTTGACACTTCAGTGTGGTTGGATCCAAAAGCAGACATTTCTCTGTCTGGATCCTCTAGAGGTACTCACGCTGATATTTTCTTGAGAAAATGAAGCCCAGCATGCACAAAATATATCAGGCTGTGCACAGACAGAAATGGGAGCCACTGTTTCTTTCTAAAACATGACCAGAGGAGATGCAGTTTCACTTTCCTGCTCTTCGGTAGTGCCAGGAGGTGGTATTGACTTGGGAAGCAAGAGCTCTAGATCCCCAAGTCCTCTCTCTGCCTGTGAGTATTGACATCCACCTCTATCTCTGCCACGATTTACGATAGGAAAGGCACGCTTCCCTTCTGTCAGGCTGGGCAGCCATGCAGAAATATCCAAAGATACGAACAGCCAGATAGGAAGGACCTGTCTGGCTTGAACAAATTTCTACCAATGTCAGAAAAAAAGAAATCTGCCTCAGACAAAGAAATGTGATTCCTTTAGCTTGCTATGAAGTGTAACTAGAAAACAGTACAGCTATACAGTCATTCTGAGCTGAAAAGGCTCTGAAGATTTGCAATTTGATGGATTGCAGGCTAAACCACAAGGCTAAACAAAGAGAGGAACCCTTTTCCCCATAGCAAAGGGCACTCAAAACCTGGGTGTTGGTATTTACCTGACATCTAAGCGGATTCGTATCTAATTCTGATCGAAAGGATTATTACTAGAATTTGTTGTTTAACCAAATTTACAACTCCTGCAGAGTGAAAAAAAAACAAAACAAAACAAAACATGAGCTTTAGACATTCTTATGGGAGTAAGAAAGAACACGAATAGAACACTGACTGTCTTTGAAAATGTTGTCTTTCCAAACAGCTGCAGCCATTGGAAATGGAACCTACTTTGCTGTTGATGCACGTTATTCTGCTCAGGACACTTATTCCGTATTGGATCAGGATGGCAGAAAATACATGTACTTGGCTCGGGTCCTCACTGGGCAGTACTGTGCTGGGAGCAAAGGACTAATCACTCCACCACCAAAAAACCCAGCAGATCCTACTGACCTGTATGACAGCGTGGTTGATAATGTGAATAATCCAACGATGTTTGTCATATTTAATGACATTCAGGCATATCCTGAACACCTCATTACTTTCAGAAAATAGAACGTTCTTAAATAGTCTGGAAAATTTTAGTGCCTTTTACATGTGGGAATGAACAGGGTAATTCTTGAATCTTGTTACATCTCTGTTTCTTAAACGAAGTGGTAATTTATCTATCCCTGTGTTTAAATATGTCTTCAAATTATCAACACAATGAGGCCAGGATAAGCAAGTGTTTTAGAACATGCTCTTTCAGTACTCAACTTTTCAAATTCAGTTATGCAGAGGCGTAGTCAAGAACTGTGAGAACAGCCCTGACCTCATCCTATGCAAGGCAGAGGGAACTGGTAGGAGAGGGAGCTGCTCTGCCTCACCTGTGGCCTGGAGTAAGAGGTGTAGGGGAGGTCAGTGCAGCTATACATGTTCCTGTTTCTAGTATTGGCTGCCTGTGAAGATTTATTTAAAATACTCTGTGTTGGGGGAATAACTCTTTCACTGCCAGAGTTTTTGGTCATTCTTAGGCATCCACTCACCCTTGTTGCTAAGAGTCCTGAAGAAAAAAAATCCAATATTGAACATACACTTTGCATTCATTGCATCACCCCCTTTTATGCTGTTGTGGCATACTTTGTTATTCCCTAGATGTAAATTCCTATACTTGTACTCGTTTTTAGGGGCAATCTCCATGCTATCCTGCATTAGGTGTATCCAGCTTCCACATACTTACTTCCAGAAACAAGTCATTGCTGCTGAAATTTTCAAGACAGTAAAGAGGGATTTTTAATTTCTTCTGGTCAGTACTGAAATATTAACCTTTCATAGAATTACCAATTTGCAGAGAGTAATCTACAGCAGCATAACTCAGTTACTATGCTTAAACCATTTGAATTTTTTTAAAGTTCTGTAAAGCAAGTAAATAATGGCATTTATACATCTTTGCAAACTGTACACTTAATTACGGTGATAATCTTACAACTGCCAGTCAAAAGCCACATACATGTGGTTTTAATAAAAGTTTCAAACAGCTACGTTGTATTACTGAGTTGTTTACACAAAGGAACGTACTTCAAGTAGAAATACTGCTTTACATTTGAATATCTATGTTACAGTGATGCTATAAATAGTGAGGAGCTGAAAAGGCTTAGAAGATAAAACTGTTTTCTTGTATTGTCTGAGTGACAGATTTGTGCATTCAGACTCCATGTGAAATTATTCTGCCTTAGTCCAAAGGAGAGTGATGCTGCAAATAGCTGCCAGGATGTCTTAAAACCCTGCCCCAATGTTCTTATTGCCTGCAAAGGGGTAAAGTGCTTACTGCACTTGTAGGTGGCAGGTGGCAATATAAAAAATTTCTGCTCTTCACATGCAACTCTTGAGGTGAATATCCTGCATAAATTTCCCTTTAAAGTGAAACAGTTTAACCCACTGCTGCTTTAATAGATTTTGTTCCCTGTGAAGAGGTGAGGGCGCTTTTCTCACTTCTCAGCTCTTTTGGGGTGCTTTTCTGTATTCTGGAAACTGCAACAGCCAGAGCGACTCGGTTTAACAGGCAGCACCAGGAGTCCTCTGCCTTCTGCCCCTGCTGTCACTGAGCTGCTGCCTGAGCTGGGACACACTGGGACATACTGCATTCTGTTTTGCGTGGCCCTCATTATAACCAAATGCCTTGGAAAGCACCAGTGTCACGGATGGATTGATACACTCCACTCGTAAGAGAGAAGCAGCAGTATGTTTATTGATCTAAAACACCGATTTAACAAAGTTTGATAGTAAATGCAACAGTGATTTAACGAGATTTGCTGGGAAGGCATGCTTGACTATTTACTGCATAGAGGACAGCCAGTCAAAACTGTCAGGGAGACCCTCCCATTGAGTCAGGAGGTTCAGAGAGGACCCCCTTGCATTCTAAACTCCTCAGAGATGAGTCTAGGTGCGGCTGGATCCAGACTTATCCCAGACTTGGACAACAGTTTGTGTCTATAAAGGATTACATATGCGCAATCAATCATTTATATCACTTAGCTAAAATTTCAAAAGTTTCAGTGCTCTTAGTCCCAATTTACTTACCGAGTATCTGACACGATAAGGATTCTCTCAGCCTCAAGGAGTAACCTGGAGAGGCATCCCTACTCAAGGGGAGATCCTGGCGTGCAGCCTGCTGCCGTGTAGGAAAGCTCAACAAGCCCTGGGCTGTCCACTAACGGAGTAAGGTAATTGGCTTCTAGTCATATTTACATACCAACTACAGATGTTGGTTTATCCCAAATTGGGCTCGAGTGGGACACTGACCAGCACTGTGGTCAGGTGGGCACATTGATCAAATTAGCCCTTGGCTATTGTGTTGTTATCTCTCCCCTCTAAATCCACGCGACCAGATGCATCTGCCATGATGGCCACGGGCGGTTATCACTTGGGCAGCGTTATGGGGAACACAGGTCAGGTTGTGGGGGAGCACACTGCCACAAGCAGGAGCTGCAAGATGAAGCACTACAAAACCCGGGACTATTTTTATCCCCGGTGGTGGTGGCAGAAGTTTCTTTACTAATTTCTGTACTGGAAACTTGGGGATACTCTGTTGTAGTGTTTGTGGACTGAGAAGCTGGAAAGAAGCCACGTTGTGTATGAAAAATTAAATTCCAGGCCCAGACTGGAGCGCTGGGATGGGCTGGCCACAGGCAGACCTTTGCTTGTCCGCAATCAGATTTCAGACTCACGGCCTGGAGCCACCTCCTTGAGGCGCACGACTCCCAGTGCTCAGTCCTGGGGGAGAGAATGAAGGGCCTTGCTGAACTGGGGACCTCGCGCCCCAACCCCAAACTGGCTTTACAGAATCACAGAATGGCAGGGGTCGGAAGGGACCTCTGGAGATCCCCTAGTCCAACCCTCCTGCTAAAGCAGGTTCACCTACAGCAGGTTGCACAGGATCACATCCAGGCGGGTTTTGAGTATCTCCAGGGGACTCCACAGCCTGCCCGGGCAGCCCGTCCCCTCAGAGGAAAGAAGTTTTTCCTCACGCTCAGGTGGAACATCAGCCGCCTGCCACACCTAGCGTGGGGCAAGGCCCCCAGAGCCCCGTGAGACGCGCTGACTCTCATGCGGCGATGTGATGCACGGCGGCCCGCCGCACTGCATGCGCCTGACTGGACCGCAGACCGCGCTGCACCGAGCTGGGTAACACGGCACCGCGCTGCACCGCTCCCCGCCACGCTGCATCCCACTGGCGCGGCGAGCACTGCCCCCGTGCTGCCTTGCCCCGCAGGCACCGCGCTGTCGCCCTGCACCGCGCTGCAGAAGGCTCAGTTGCACAGCACTGCGTTCCGCTGCACTGCTGCGCGGCGCGGCACGGCACGGCACGGCACGGCACGGCAC